CTGCGTCGCTTTATTAAGTGGATCTCACTGGGACGCTTGCGTAAATCCAGGGTGGTATTGGAATGCAAAATGATTACAGTTTTGAACCATAGTCTTATTTAATTGTTGTGTCAGTTAAATTTTTGTGTTAATTGTTTATTTGTAAAATTAATTGTAAATGTGTTATTTATCTTACATGAATTAAAATAAGTAAATTAAAAAATAAATAAAAAAATATTTCAGATAGAGTTAGTCAATTGATTATGTTATACCAAAAGGAGGTATAAATATAATTACAAATATTCCCGGACACGAGCAAAACAACCATGTAAAGTTGGTTACTAATGTGATTAGTTCATAGTCTAACTAATATAATGGATGGATGTTTGTTATAGTTTGTAGCCTAAACGGCTGAACGGATTTCGATGAAATATGGCATAGTTGTAGAGGATAGTTTAATAGAACACACAGGCTACTTACTTTTGTTTTTTTTTATTTCCACGCGGACAGAGTCGCAGGCGAAAGCTAGTTTAAAGTTAGATGAAATCTGTACTAAATAAGGATGACTTTTAATATTTGTTTTGTAAACATTTATAGCCCTACTACCTCAGTCAATCATATGCGAGAACACTTTTATTTTTATTAAATTATATTATACAACAGGTGAAAATGATAAGAATTCAAATCGAAATTTTTCACTAACAAAAACGTAACCATAATTTATCTAATTAATAAAAACTGTCAAAGTTTATCTTTTTCTTGACACGAAATTTCTTAATCGAATTTAAATTATACGAATCCGTATCTGCGGCTAGAGAAAGTTGTCTATGGCTCAATAGAGCAACAAAAACTAACAAAACCCGTCGTATATTTTATCAACTTAGTGACAAATGACAGGGCTGGCACAACTGACTTTCCGTTAGTTAATTGCTATTAATTACGTCGAACTGGAAAGGATATTTCGCATTTGATTTCACGTAGTAATTACTACTTTTAACGACAAACGTCATTCTAATACTTAGGTTATGTAAGTACACATAGCATAAACTAAAACTTGAGATGTTCGGAGCCTTTATATCGTAAGTGGGCAAACGAATACTAGCCTCTATTCGCGCTAAAAAGTTAAAAAGGTTAAGCAAAGTTCTTGTCTTTTTAAAAAAAAAACAGCTGATTGCAGTCTTCTAACAGTGTCCCAAAGTAGAGTAAAAAGTATATCTAAATTATAACACAAAATTTTAACTCTAAACAATGTTTTTGTACCTTGTTTTGTTTACTTTTTATTAATGATCTCACAAAGCGTGTCTGCGTTAAATAGATTAATCCAAATAGGTTATACTGTTATTTTTAAATGCGTTCAAATTAATTTTACTCAATAAAATTTTATCGCTATAATTTTTTACTCTACAACTTTTATTTTCGTTCATAAACCTCATTATGTTTGTAAATTTCTACATCGTAATCACGCGACCGTAACGACGCCATTACTATGCCTGCTTATGTAGTTATTTGTGATAATTCAATCGTAAATGAGACCGGTTTACCTCCGCATTTTCTATAAACATGCAATTATTGGTTTCTGAATATCGTACCAATGTGGAGTATAAATACGAGCATGTTGTACCTCAAACCAATTATTAGTTAATTTTGATATGTGGTTACATTTAATAGCGGACTTCTGGAGTTTTAAATTAATGTATAGAAGAAATAAAATACTGGACTGGAATTTTAGCGCAGTCAAAATTATGGTTTGTAATATTTTCTTGAAATGTTGAGCCTCGTAATACAAGCTAAATATTTACTGGTAAAGAAATATTTTTGAATCAATATTTTCAACTGAAAGCCGAAAAGTAATTTATTAACGGGATATCGAAATTCTTTGCACGTTAGAAAATTAATAAAACAGATTAATGCATCATCAAAACTAATAGTAAAAGCTTTTTTAATTGGTTTTAAGCTTTATAATGAAAACCAATTAAAACATAACCTAACTCTTAAGTTTATCGTTCGAGTTTAAAAATAAAAAAGGCGGGAAATACATTTTACATTTGACAGGTTATAATTAGCGTTTTGCAACAAATCACCCGGCGACGTGGCTTGATCGATGGCCGAGCTCGTCGGACGTCTGTTGTAAATGATTATAGAACACCAATTATCTGTTGATTTTTTAATACAACGAGATTGTAATGAAAACTAGTTAGTAACAAAGTGTACAAACTTGAAATTATAGCCTAAAAGATGGTTAATTAAATTTTTATCTCACATATTTCATTAATATCTATACTATTATAATAAAGCGTAAACACACACTTCTTTGTTGCCTAAGATGTCAGCAATCAAAGCATATTTTCGAATAATTCTTTTTTTTATAAATAGCCCTACACTTACGTTACGCTTTAGGCTATATATTTTCACGTCATTAAACTTAGGGAGTAAATATTTTGGATAAAAACCGAAATGTGGGAAAGAGACCATAAGTTGCTGCCAACATCAAGGAAGCGAAATTGCCAAGGTTTGTCATGTCATGTCACTTTGACATTTGCTATTAATAATTTAACATGTAAACAATAAAATAAAATTTTCATAATTTCATGCGGATGAAGACGCACGGGAACAGCTAGTGCTTTAATATAATTATAGCCTGAATTGAATACATTTCTTTTGTGATCGTATTAACAATTTACATAATTGTATTTTCTCTCTTATAACCTCTCTCTTTATAACCTCACCCAACGTTTTGCGCCGTTCGTCTTCTGAAGTAACTCATAGGACAGGTCTGAGTATTAAGAACATGTTTGTTAGCGCACTGTCATATTTATACGCCATAAGTTTTTATAAACGTTCAGCCGTGTCGTCATAAATACTTTTAAATGAAGGCAAACATGCTAGAGGTTGCAAGAAGCGATGTCGGTTGATATTTATGTGACAATTACATACGAAATAAAGTTAAATTTACAACAAAGTATGGTAAAAAGAGTAACAAAGCACACAGGACCCTATCTCATGGTGGTATTTTTAGTTTATTTTTTAGATAAAAGATGGCGTTGTTACAAGTGGTAAGGACTTTTTCGATAGCTTACATTTCATGGAAAGGCAATTTAATTCTTCAAATGTTGGTAAAATGCGTTAGGAAAATAAAGTTAACTTTAGTTTTAAAAAGGAGTATTTTTTATTATATCTTGAATAGTAATTTTTTAAATTAAAAATCTCTCAGGGAAAAGTTAAATTAATAATGATTTGTATTGCAATTCCGTTTACTTTTTTTAGTTGAATGTTAACGTATTTAAATTGGAACATAATTTATAAATGCATTTTATTGATAAATATTTAAATAATAATTAAAAGCACAAACATAAATTCAAAACAGAACGTTTGATTTAAAATTTTTCATATTAATACCAACACATTTTATATCAATCGTAAATCGTTTTTGTAGCGACAGTTGTTGATTTATCGATATCGACTGGATGTATCGATTATTTTAATTATCGATTCATTTGGACGACGATTCTATGTACGGTTCTGTTGATATAGAACCATGACATCTCATTCGTTTTACGTTTCGATTACGATACGATGTATTTCGAAGCGTTTAAGAGTAAAAAATAGGGATGACTCGTATATAAATTCGCATTACAAGGTGCTAAAGTATCCCCGAAAGCAAACAATGTAAGTCGAGACATGTATTATGATGTTCAAACTTTAGGACGACTCGTGGTTTCCTACGCACTTTTTTTATTGAACAAGCAACCCATAAAGTGAATTCAACGAAACAGTAAAACCAACTCTGTCCATACATCTCCAAAAGCAGAAGCGTTGTCATGGGAGAAGCTCCGAAAAAATATATTTTCCTTTTACATGCGTCCTCACCTTCGTCAAATTGACTTTCCGTTTCTATCCTTTCCTTGTAAGGTTGGAAAAGGATTGGGAATAAAATCTGGCCTTCGAGTGGAAATATTATCGCAAGTAAGTGCTAGTTAGGTTTGTTGTGAGTGAGGGAAAAAGGGCAGAGTAACCTTTACGTTCCTCATGTTTTCGGAGCGGGGTGTGCAAAATTGCGAGCGTCCTTAAAGTTTGTATAGCACTGTACATTGGTTACGTTTTAATAGGCCATTTATCGTACGCAGGTGCAGTCGTGACATTTGAATTGTTTGTTATTATGAAATTCTTTTGTGGTTAAAGCGACTTTTTGTTCACAAAATGTTCTTTGAATGCCTTCTTGTTTACAATGTTTACATTTTTACAGTGAAAAGCATCGTATTTTTGTTCATTATCATGTTTTTGCATACTTTTAAAGTTTATATAATAAACATTTTTGGGACTAAAGTGTAAAAGTATAGGTTATTATAAAATAAACGGAATAAAAGGTAATTACAAATAAAAAAATAATAAAGACATCAACATTTGTTACTACTGTTACTGTTATTTTACCCTATAAGTTTAAAAAAAATGAGGGACATCATTTAGCGGATGTATAATCTCGACTTCTAATTAAATGCAAACATGGTGTAGTTACCCGGAACACAATTACGAGATTCTTTTGTTATTGTTACTTAAGACTTAAGACAGACATAGAGGAAGATATCCAGTCTCAGATGCATGACATGTATCATAAATTGCTGACAACATAGACGCTTCTTGAATAAATGTTTCAATTTCAATTCACTTAATTTCAATGCATTTGTTTTTGTTCTTATACTCGTATGTCTAAAAATTAACTTATGACAACAATTTGACGCACCCATATCCTGCTTCTTGTCTTCCCTTTTTCCGTCTTGATCTTCCATACCGTGTATGTTATAATTTCTCAAAGTGTTTAATGCAAATTGAAGAGTTTTTTTGTCTCAATGTAGAGATCACAATTAACCTCGCATCGCTCCTTGAGTGAGGCCCGCAGTGCGAGGCGGGACGCGATTGCAAAGAAAGCCCAGGAACAGTCGCCCTGAAGATGGACCCCGGATGGGTCCGAAAGTAGTCGATGCCGTCACCCGAAAATAGCTGTTTAATAATAAGTAACAACTAACCTCGTCTGTGGCGTCTCGTTGCTGCGGCACCGCGCGCAGAAGGCTGGCTAGCCGCGCCGCGTCTCCGCGCGCCGCCGCTTCTAGCACCGCGCACCCCCCGCCCCCGCCCATGCGCCTTCACACCATCACTGCAACAAATATCAATAAAACGTTGAAGTAATTGAAGCATCTGTTAGAATAAATATAACGTAGTAACAAACTGTCTACATGACTGTTATATTTGAACACGCAACAAATGTATTATGTCACTATCGACATCTGTCAGGCTTCGGGCGCAATTTCATTAGTCGATAACTCGCCTACGCCTGGGTTTTGTCGCCACCCCAGTATTTCTTGCCAAAATTCGTATTTATGATCATTCCTTGTGTGAGTGCGGTTTGGATGAGGGATCCTTAGAACATATATTTTTTAATTGTCCGAAACTTAAAGTTCACTTATATGATATTCTTCCTACCCAAATTCCTAGACCCATTAATATTCCATTCTTGCTAACCTTAGTTTACAGCCCCCGGGTGAAGGTTTTATTTAAATTGTTAATTTCCAATAATATTAAATTGTAATAAAAATATATAAATTTTGTATTTAGTGTGTAGTATAGTAACATTTGTGTTGTCCTATTACAGTGCCTCGATTGATATCATCAGCTACCGGTCATTTGTCAATCACACTAGATTCCGTCTATCTAGTTAACTGCTACTCAAAATTTTAGTCTCGTTTTATATACTTTCAATTATCTTCAACCTTGACGTTGGCGAAATCATCGAAATAACGATGGGGTCCACTAAACATTAAAAGAAGAAGAAGAAGAACTCGGTTGTTATAACGGTTGCGAGAGATTTCCTATTCGCAAATGCCATGGCGCACTTTAGTCAGAAGTGTTTATTAGTTGTAAAGCATGTATGTGGCGATATTCCTTACTTTTCTTTGCCGATCATTCGCAAAAATTTCATCCACGCATAACGAAAACTTTACATCGACCGACCCCTGCAACCTGTTAAACACTACCTTAGATTGACGTTTTGTCGAAAAAAATATCATAATAAGAAGTTATGTTAAAGTGATACGCATGAAAATAAATAACCTATAACTGTTGTAATAAACTGAAGGACGTTGTAAACTTAACATTTGCCCTCGTATGGTAGCCATGATGTTTTTGCAGCGCCCGGACCGTGTGAACAGACATCGGTTACGCATCATTGCAACTTATAAGTGAATACCGTAGCGTGTAACGCATGTCGACTAAACGGTTACAGCTTCATGAGAAATACAAGTATAGATTTTAGCTTAACAATTCACGACCATTAAACCTATTGTAAAATTGAATAGTTTAACAAATAAAAATTTAAGAAATAAATTAGTTTTTTTAAAGACAATTTTTAAATTATTACACAGTAGCTTTTGCCCATGTCCCGCGCGTGGATTTAAAAAAAACAAAAGTAAGTAGCCTATGTGTTTTTCCAGATTATGGTCTATATCTATGCCAAATTTCATCCAGATCCGTTTAGCCGATTAGGCTACAAACTAACAAACATCCATTCATCATATTAGTACGATTAGTAATATTACATTTAATACTTTGAACTAGCAAAAAATAAGTTTTTTACAGATTCTTTTATTAATACTACTGGGCGAAAATGGTTCCATTAAATAAAAAAAATATTATGTATTAAAATATCTCACCAATATTTTTAACACTGGCACTCGCCAAAAGTCGCGATACAACTCTTCAATATAACTGAAGCCTCCCATACTTATTGACTATGTATTGGGATCATACGGGGGATAGCACACTGCATAAGAGATAGCGGGAAGTTTATTATTAAATCAAAAGATAACTGTTGCACTCAGAATTATTTGACAGTTAAAAAAAATGAATTGAATTCTATGTAGTGAAAATTAAATATAATACCTTCGTAATTTTAAATCGTTGAAGGCGGGAAGTCGTTGATGCGAAAGGCGGAGGATCGAAGGAAATATGGAATTGCGGAAGGCCTATGTCAAACAGTAGGCAGATAATGGCTGATGATGATGATAATGTACATTTACTTGCTATTTACTCACTAGAAACTCTTAATTTAATAACACATTAGAATGTGAGATAAAAAAGAAATATTGTTTTACCCTCAACTACTTCATTAAAAATGTCCGTTTTCCGCTTCGCCTATGAAACAAGCCTCTATACAATAAGTCTTAACAATAACGTATTATCCACGCTTCAGTAGCCGCCCTGCCCACAGGAGTATCCAACGCAGCCGAGTGGCAACTCAATGAGCCTTATGACCATATTCACAACAATGCATATTTTACAGACGGTAAGATGGCGTTCGCCTAAATTGGGGCAAAGTATTAATGCTAGAAACTGTCGCAACATTTTCAAAAACATAGTATCTCTTATGTTTTCGTTGACAAAACATAAAGAACTATATTTTTACCCGATTGCTAAAGATGCTAATGTTTTTCGCGAATATGTAAGTTTGTTTTTTTGTACGGTTTTGTATGTGAATTCTTTTGTAACTTCTTACAGGCGTAATGACTGAACCAATTATGACTAGTGATGTGTCATTTCCTTCGTTTTCTTTTCCGTAGTGTTATAGGATAATTTATATCATCACAAAACATCTATAGTGACTGTTAGAAGTGAAATTTTAAAATGACAGTGACAGAACCAAGTTGATATCTCACTCGCCATAAATTGTTTTTTCTAACAAACTATTTTCTAATGGTTTTGATATTAGTTTATTCTTTTTTTTCTTTAGCTTTAATGCCGGTTATTTTCACTTCCATCTATTAGTGGCTATCTATTTCCAATTTATTATGCCAACATTGTTTGCGTCACGATTTACACCGTCTGCCTATCTCAACTTTGGTCTTCCTCGATCTCGACGACCTTGAGGGTTGCTCGCCATAAGGGATTTAAGTTTTAGTCAGGCTTTTTAGTACCTTGTACAGATGTTTCAGCAACGAAATTTGCAAAAAAGTCTGTAGTAACCAAACTCAGATACGGAGTAACTTATAAAGATTCTCAACCAAAACAAAACACGTTCCAATTAAACGCTCCAGACCGCAGACTGGACAGGTCTAACGAGACCAGCTTAATGCTATCTACCAATCAGATAGCGTTATTAAGATGTACTTATTTGTTATTTTTTATCATTTGTAGTAAGTTAATACACGCTAATTCTACAATCTCATGTTGTGAAGTTGTAATGCCAGTTTTATATGATAGATTGAGTTATTACTTGACAGAATATTAAGAGATACATTATAATTTTATTTATAGCGAATATAATTTAAAAACCATCATGCAGTTTTCAGGTAAAGTTTTGAATCTGTCATATGAAGATTTATAGTTATGAAAAACTCAAATGCTATTGTATGAGTCCACTAGCTGTCCCATTGTGGATTCATCCGCATGAAATTATAAAAACGTTTTTTTTTTTGTTTACATTTATTAAATTCTCAATTGCAAATGACGAAATGTCAATTACCTTACTATGGCAGTTTCGCTTCCTTGATGTTGGCAACATCTTATGATCTCTTTCCCACACTAGGGTTTTTATCCAAAATATTTACCCCCTAAGATTAATGTCGTGAAAATATATTACCTAAAGCGTGACGTAAGTGTAGACCTTTTTATTAAAAATAGAATTATTAAAAAAATTGCTATAATTGCTGACATCTCAGGCAGCAAAGAAGTGCGTGTTTACGTTTTATTATAATAGTATAGATAACAAATAAAACACTTTTAACTATTTTTGAAAAAAAAAGAAGTTGGTACAAACCACTCAACATTTTTACAATCATAATTTTAATTTAACATAAAACTGTTTAGGAACAAATCATAAATCGTTATAGAATTAAAACGGTGAATAACATATGATATGATACTATAATATACGTTATATCATGTGGTCGGTATAAAAAACCTACCGCTATTATAAAACAATGTTGAAAAACCTCATTAAAATTCCGTGAGCGACGCACGCGGAAGACGTGGATGTGATTCTCTCAAAGAATGCAAGTAAAAACAATGCATAGCTATTTAAATATAGACTGTACGGTGTTTGGATAGAGGGAGCCACATACGAATGAATGAAATGCGAATGTCGCTTTGATGCCCACAAACGGAGACGTTATCTATCTAGGAATTGTTTAACTTACCTCTACCTTTTTCTAAATGATAAATTATACTTAAACTTAATATTCATCTCTAAGTTTTTTAATAAAACAGCTACTGTCATGTTTGCAAACAACCTTACTATGACGCGGTATTTTGAACACCCAATATTGCGACGCAATTGAATAATTCGTGGTCACAGTTAAAATCCCGTTTTATACAAACTTAACGTTCAAAAGAACTCGGGATTTAAAAAAAATAATTGTAGGTTCCAGTGGCTACGAAGGTAGAGAAGGACTGAAAAAAGTGTTAAGAAAGGAGTCAATTCAGATACGTCGACTGATATAGATGTATGAAAGGGATAATGTGCGGATAATATGTAGTTTAATTGTATTTTTTTCAACATTATGCCATGCCTAAGGTGCATTATCATTGTACGCATCAAGCGTCAAGGTCCGTGTTTCATGGCAATGTAAATCAGTATGCAAACACCGCAGCATGTGTAGCACTGATCGAGGGTATCGAATGTCGGCCTTGTGAATTCGTGCGCGAAATACGTGTAAATTTGCCGTGAGAAGTAACGTTTTTCACACAAATGTATATCGATTTTGGTACAAATTTGTGTGTACTATTTAAAAAGGATAAAAAATTTGTTTTCTATAAAGAACGATTAATCTGTATTAAGTATAATATGTCCTGGTCATTTTAGTGTATTCGTTTTACTTGTTGGTAATTAAGTTAACCAGTATCATAACTTAAGAGTTAAAAACACAATATTTTCACAGAAATTTTACCTTTTGATTAATAAAAATATCAAATAAATTTACTTGTATCTGATTTTGGAACTCTTGTATCTATTTATATGAATTAACTTCTTTCTTTACTTTAACTTAGCTGTTGCTCGTGACTTCGACCACGTGAAATTAAAAAATATATCTATGTCACTCAGAGATAATGTAGCTTTTTAACGGTGAAAAAATTTTTGGAATCACCCCAGTAGTTTTCGAGTTA